CCCTTCTTCTTTGGTTGTACAAACATGTTTGCCGGTGTTTGCCAGTGAAGAGCAAGTGGACTGTTGGCCCCCAGAATAGAAGGGGCGTGTGCGTTTGGAGGGGGGGGGGGGAAGAAAAAGAAAAAGAAACTGCCGGTACTTCGGAGCTGCTAATCCCACAGGTATAACGGCCGACCACAAACCCTAAACTATAATTGGCTGGCTGTCAGGGTACCTTCTAGCGGAGCAGGGGTCAAAAATGCCAGCTCAGCAACATAGGTTCTGAAGTAGTCCTGGGGCCAAGTCCCACTTGGCGGGATTCTTCATTTCTGGCCGTCGATCTTCCGAATCAACGGTCAGAAATTGAGAATTTGGGTAACTGGGACTCGGTCCCTGGTCTAAGGCAAGCCGCATAGTACTCCCAGAGAAAAATCTCAAAGAATCAAATTTGAGCAAGGCATGTGCAACATTCCAGTCCATTTATCCCAGTAAGAAATCCAAGTATAGTGGATGGTCCAAGGTATTTGCAATTCTGCATACTGCTGGCGCAAAGAGCAGCTGACCCTTAGCAAAGCAGCGGGGGGTCCAACGCACGCGGACATCCCTTTGGCCCAAGCATATGATTCCAGATCTCATTCTGGTTCATACCCACATCGTGGATGGTCCGGGCCAGCGGTGACTGACCTGACCTCGTTGCACCACAGATGTGTAGCGGGTAGCGGGTGATGAAAACAGTCTCCTCTGGGGAGGCAGTGTGTTCCATGGATCACCAAACGAAACCAAGCATGGATAACCAAACCAAACCACGGGTCACCGAACCAAACCATGGATCACCAAACCAAACCAAACCAAACCATAGCTGTGTAGCGGGTGATTCAAGCAGTCTCCGGGGGGGGCAGTGTGTTCCATGGTCACCGAACCAAACAATGGATCACCAAACCAAACCATAGCTGTGTAGGGGGCGGTGGTTCAAGCAGTCTCCGGGGGGCAGTGTGTTTCATGGATCACCGAACTAAACCATGCATTACCAAACAAGACCTTCGATCGCCAAACCAAACCATCGATCACTGAACCAAACCAATGAAACCATGGATCAGAAAAACCGCAAAACTTTTGCAGCAGGTGACGGACATTTTTTTCCCCGCATTGCCGGGGCTGTGTACTGGCGGTTTAAGAACTCAGGAATTCTAGACTGCCAACATGAACATAGCCATTAGCAAATTGTGTGTACTTTGCATTTCACGAATTAAGTGTGTGCACGTGTTACTATACTGAAATATAGACGAAACTACGAATATCTGAATCAGGATAAAAAATTCAGACCTTCTTATAGACAAAAAATACCAGTTGTGTGCACAGTGCAGACTGGAACGACCAAGGAGGTTGTATGCAAGAAAATACGTCCTCGTACTTCGCAAGGACAGATGAATCCGTACATAAGCAAACAGTAGATGAACCCATTTGAATCATCGAAGTTTAATATTTACAGAATTTAATAGGAGATGCAGGCAGTTGGGCAGCCCTGGAGTCTCCGGGCTCTCCTACAATCACAGCCGACCAGCCTATTTGCAGCTTCCTAACATATCAAGATTGGTGAAAATTTTCAAGACTCTTAACGATACAATTACGTCAGATTATCACTCTGCTGACAACAACCACAACCACAACCAAAGCAACAAAGAAAGCAACACCAAAGCAAATTCAGGGGGGGCTCTCAAAAGGTGTATGTAGGGTAGGAGAGGGAAGGGGGGTAACGTCTCGGATGCCGAAGGAAATCGGGTTGGGA